AATAGTTTATCTTTATCTACTCTGTATATCGACCAATCAACTGCTCTTCATCTGATTAATTATATATCTGGCCTCTTCTGTGCTTGGCTCATAGAATCGAGCAGCAAGAGTGATAACTTCTTTACCTTCCCCTGCCTGTGATGCTGAAATGTGCTAAGGTGCCAGTCAAGGAGGATAAGCCTACACCTGGGCAGGGCACCAAATCAATAAGTCCTCCAGGTCAACAGAATAAACTACTTCTCATCCCAGCTGCCAATGTCTTGACTGCGATTAGTGGGAGGACAAGGAAGAAAACAAAATTACTGAGGGCACATATGACAGTTAATTGCGAGTAATCCTGCACATTATAAAATATATGTTAAATGACACTCTTGCTGTGTGCTGCAGACTGTAGCCATGATGTTTGTTTGTCATCAATAAAAACGATTTGGATTAGAATATAGGAGGCATGGTTGGTAAATTTGCAAATGACCCCAAAATTGGACGTATAGTGGACAGTCAAGGATATCTAAAATTACAAAGACATCTAGATCAATTGGGTCAATGGGCTGAGCAGTGGCAAATGGAGTTTAATTTGCGTGAGTGCGAGGCATTACATTTTGGTGAAACAAATAAGGGCAGGGCTTATACAATTAATGGTAGGCCCCTGTGTAGTCTTGTAGAACAGAGAGACCTAGCTTTTCCGATACATAATTCTTTGAAATTTGCATCGCAGCTAGACAGGGTGTTTAAGAAGTTGTTTAGCATGCTTGCTGTCATTGCTCAGATCTTTGAGTATAAGGAGTTAGGACATCATGCTGAAGTTGTACAGAACATTGGTGAGGCCTCCTGTGGGGTACTGTGTGCAATTCTGGTTGCCCTGCTATAGGAAGGATATTATTAAATTGGAGTGGGTTCACAAAATATTTATCAGAATATTGCTGGGAATGGAAGGTTTGAGTTACAACAACAGGCTGGATAGACCTAGACTTTCTCCACTGGTGTGTAGGAGGCTGAGGGGTGACCTTATAGAGGCTTATAAAATCATAAGGGGCATAGATAAGGTAAATAGCAAGGATATTTTCCCTAGGGTGGGGGTGTTTCAAAACTAGGAGACATATTTTTAAAGTGAGAGGAGAAAGTTTAAAAAAGGACATAGGGCAAACTTTTTTTAAACAAGGAGTGGTTCATGTGTGGAATGAATTTCCAAAAGAAGTGGTGGTTGTGACATTTAGATAAGTAGATGAATAGGAAAGGTTTGGAGGGATATGGGCTAAATGCAGGCCAGCGGGACTGATTTATTTTGGGTACATGGTTGGCGTGGACTAGTTGGAGTGAAGATCTGTTTGAATGTTGTCTGACTCTATGATTATGACTCTAAGTCATGTTCATTTGAGATAAGAGTTTCCTCTTTACACAGCCCAAGGATAAAAATAGTCAAAATGGACAAACACATTGCTTATCTCTCACAAGCTCTGTGATTGTACATAGCATCAGATACCCAGATCCTCTAACCATGACATAGGTGACTGTATCCACTGCTGCACTTTAGGTGTAGACAACAGAGGCAACAAACAGTGAGCAGATGTTGTGGGAAGGTCTGCCCTGGAAAGCTCACCACACTTACACCTAGTTCAATTAGCAGTGACTATTCCACACCTTTCTGCAGGCAATGTTGCATTCTATCTTTCAGCTTTACAAGCACATTTCCATTTAAGGTTAGGTGGTGTGTAATGGGAAGTTCACATTTATACTCTCCCTCATTGCTCAGTGGGCTGATAGGAGAAGCTACACAGTGAGCTGTAGCTCTTCAGTTAAATCTTGTCCCAAAGACAATGAGAAAATGGCACCTGGGGACAGCTTGTTTGCATTTGTGGACCAAGAATCGGGAGCAGTAGCACGGTTCCCCAGTCGCTCCTTGTAACAACCTGATGTCATAAAAATTCAGGCTAGCTGTGATGCCACACATTCCTTCCAAACACAAACCCTACTCTAAAACATTGGTAACAATATGCCTGAACATCCTTAGTCTGTGTCTGCATTATGTTTCTGAGAACTATAGATAATGAAGACAGGATCAGTAAATTTGGGCACGGATCATTCTCCTTCACCTCCTTGAGGGATCTTCAGCTCCTGGTTCTCCCTCTGGAGGCTATGTGGCAGCTGTGAGAAGTTCCTGTTCTTGGTGACAATGTTCTAAATGAAATCTTCTTCACTGCTGTCATTTTATTTCTAACAAGGAATTCTCTATGTACAGGTTCCAATCCGAGGTGAGTGATTGGATAATCAATGGGTAATGTCTAAAAATATTGACAATTAGGTGTGACACCACAGAAGTATTGTCCAGTGTAGGTTTGAAAAGTGATGCCAAAATGGCAAAACCAAATAAGACTTTTAAAATAGTGTCTGCATAGCTTTGTGCATCTGATAAGACAGGGGGCCAATCAATGCCAAGTATGTAATGGTCATCATTGCTTGAGTTCATAATTTGCAATGTTCTTGCTTGCCAAAAGAATTACCTTTCAAAAGAATCCAATTTGATGGCAAATAGATATTGTTGCACCATCCAATGTACTAACACAATTGCAGCTAGAAGGACCTCACATGCAAATCTTTGTACACCACCCCCAAGGAGAAAAACAGTAACTTATTCTGCTTGCCGTGCATGCAGTGGCAGTAATTTTGCCTCCTTATTGCACTGTCGAGTTTGGAATGAAGAAAATTTTTGCTTTGTGCCCTCATGAATGAGTTGCAGGCTTCTCCTGAGATTAACAACGATTTCCCAATGCGTTTTATTCCCTTTTGAGTTATTGTCCCATGTCCCCGATGACCTTTCCGCCTCTTTCCATTCTTATTCAGTCCCATTGTGTGACTATTAATGTTTTCCATTTACCAACTAAGCCCAAGATATTACGATTTGCCATCCTTTTTGAAATAACTCAAAAAGGCTAGTATCCTGTCACCAAGTCACCCTTTATTTTACATGTGCATAGTACATGGCTGACCCAGTTAGCTCAGAGCCAATTCCTAGAGTGAGCAGAACCCTCGACTCTATTGTTTATATCTATCAGCCAGGACTCACTGACTGGGGCTATCAACCTGGCCCAATCAGGGAACTCATATTTTGAGATCCACCTATCTGACAATGTTCCAATCACTACACCCTTGTTGGCCATTCACTCTTCTTGTATCAAGATAAGGTTAATAATGAAATGTGCAAACATCATCTCCTGTAATATCTTGTTCCCTATGCTGCATGAGATCCCATCTTCCAAACTGAAATTGCCACTTTCACCATCATTCCCTCAACAACCCAGTCTAACGAACCCCAAAACCACTTTCTACAGCACTGCACAGACTACTCAAACCTCCTAGGACTGATCATGGTCCATCCCCCCAAGTTGATTAGGATGACAGTCCAGACTGAGGACAGCCCAGTGCCTTGGAAGGATGTCTCCACAGCACCCCAGCTGACGCACAGTGATCCCTTGACTATGGCTCAATTCCTGGGCTACAAGGACACTGTTCCCTGGACTCCAGGAGGGCCAAATACCTGATTAACCCTGTCCAAACTCTTGGACTAAAATTAAATGAACACCTAGATTGACCATAGTTCTCCTCAACTCCTCTTTGGCATTTAGACATGGCCATTTGCTTGAAGCACATACATTGTGTTTGCTATGCAAGTTGTTGACAGATGCTGAAGGTGTGATGTTGATGTAGTCCTTGGTGCCACTGTAGAGACTCCATTGTCTGTTCAGTGTTCACAAATGTGATAGGCTGCATGGCAGTCTCTGCGGTAAACAGCAATGCAAGCCAGAGAAAATGGAAGTTTTAGACGCAGAGCTGATGTGCTGAGAAACAATACAAGCCACAAGAGGTTGACAGAAAAGTCAATGGAAAATGATTTAGGACTAAGAAAGCAACCTAAGAGGCATCTTATGTAGTTGTATGAGATGTGTGTCCCTGGCACACCAACAGACTGGACAGACACATGAAAGACTTAACTGTCTGAGAGTTCCAAAGTGAAGTGCTGTAGGACTGAAGTAGTATGGGAAATATTCTGAAAGCAGCCATGGTAATGTGATGATTATGATAATGCCCAGTTGATTGGAGGAAGGATGGAAGAAAGGACAGTGTCTGTGGTGCATGTTGGGATATGGTGGTGATAGAGGAGTTGTACGAAGGCCCAGAGAATCAAGTAGTGACATGAGATATCAGGTAACTGCTCTGACTTTCATTTCAGGAGCTGATGCCATATAGTTTTTGGGGAAGGAGGGGAGAATTGGGAGCTGTGTAGAAATGAGTTAAGATTAGCTAATAATGAGATGCAAATACTTGGAAATAAAATACAAAAATACGGTAGTTCTCCTATATCACAATAGTTGTGTTATTGTGTGACCTCACACTATAGAAAATCAAGTTATAGGGAAATCGCTATACCTGTACAGCAGAAAGTTCATTATCCAAACAGCGCCCCCGATTCATCAATCATGCTACAGCCAATTTGCATTAACGAAACACACACTTGAGCAGAACTACCTGTAGAACCTGTTGGAAAAGCTCAGCAGGTCTGGCAGCATCCATGGAGAGAAATCAGAATCAACATTTCAGGTTCACTGACTCTTCCTCAGGATGGAAGAAAGATAGTCGCTGCTCTTTATTGAGATTTAGCACCCACCATTTAAACCTTAAGTGGGGGAATAGGAAATATTTTTCTCCAGGTCAGAGATCTGATTTCAATGTATTTTCCCAACTTTCTCACACTGTCTACAATACTCGAGGCAGCAGAAAACGGTCTGTCTTTAAAGGTAGTATACCTCTTGTCGTCCTCTTATTTGTTTTAAATGAGTCAATAATTATTTCCTGCATAATGAAAACTTAATTAGTCAATGTAGCTAAATGTATTTTTGTCCAAAACAAGTCAGCCTACTAACAGCTGAATACTATTAGCATTTTAAATGCAACTTTAGTATCCTACAAACGTGTAGCTGTACTTAAATTGTAAAAACAAGTGAACATTTTTGAGAATCATATTTGTTTATTGTCAATATCAAATTATAAAGAAAAGAATGTAATTGTAACTGCATACAGTTGTTTCTCTTTGAACAATAATACAGGTGTCCAAATAACTACAGAGTATCAGAAATTTAAAAACTGTGCGTTTGCAGATTTGATTTGGTATTTTACAGCAACATTTACCTGCATAAATATTTCTGTGTCTCACTTTATTGAATTCTCATTATATAGGTTTGCTTTTCTGAATAAACTCAAAAACAGAAAATGCTGAGGTAATCTGCTAAACAAAAATCATTTCATGATGATAAGATGCACCACTTTCAGATGACAAATAGCTTGAGATCAGTTACAGCTTTCATTTGGGCTGAATTTAAAAACTGTCAGAATAAACTAAAGAATAAACAAGTTATGCAATTTGAAGTTTTCTACAGAAAACAGCCAACATAGTTTTTACCTCATGCTTTCATCCATCACCAATGCCATAATTACTGCCAGGTGAATAATAAATTTAACTACCAAAATATTCACCGTCAAAATCAAAACTTCATTGTTTCATTGAAAGATGTAAAATATAAATCATGAAAAGACAAGAAGATAGTTTATGACTATCGAAACATTTTCAAGGCCTTGTCATCTACTCTGAACATGTTTATATTTTCTGATTTTTTTTAGTAGCAGATTGACAAAAACAAATGAAGAACTAAGTACAGAATTCTTAATGCAGGGTTTGGGGAGGAAGGAAAGAGAGGTTATTTATTTTTAAATGGACAGCAGTTCCTGTTCATAGGTTTAACAAAGGACTTTTTGATCCCACTTATTTTCATATTAATGAAAGCATCAATGAAAATCTGGTGCTTCTGGGAATGTGCAACCTGAACGCCTAATGATAACATTTGCTGCATAATGGCCAGCTCGGATGCATTTTTCAAGAGGTTGATCATGAACCAGTTGTGACAGAAAACCTACAAAGAAAATAGTAAAAATCATCCACAGATAAGAGTAATAAAAACCTTTACATTTGCAACTAAATACACCACACTATTTTTACACAAAAGTATGAAATACAAACTATTTTCCACTGATAAAATTAGCCTTCGTAAATTCTTGGCTCCTCCTTTTGGGTAGAGATCAGGTTATCAAACTTGAAGTACTAAGAAATTGCAGTCTTTTTCACAAAAAAGCTAATTTGTGATTTGTTTCTGTTTTAATTAACAATGAAACTGTTGAAACTCAGTTTTTAAGATGAGACAATGCATGTCAAAATTTAGGAGGAAGGTACCCTGACTCCCTTGATGTTCAATGCATAAATGGATGACAAAACATGGCAGTGCTGAATTAGATTTCAGGTGGTGAATTCCCTTATCAACAAGCTTCAGTGATACTCAGGCTAGAGTAGAAAGATTAGGACAGGACTTGATAGTGTTGCTTCCCACAGTTCAACAGTTTGCCAACATTCATTGCATTGAACAAAAACAGAAATTGCTGGAAAAACTCAGGTGATCTGACAGCATCTGTGAAGAAAAATAAGAGTTAATGTTTCGGGTCTGGTGAACCTTCCTCAGAACAGGACAGCAGTTCTGAGGAAGATTCACCAGATCCAAAACTTTAACTCTGATATTTCTGCACAGATGCTGCCAGACTTGCTGAACTTTACCAGCAACTTCCGTTTTTGTTCCTGATTTACAGCATCCACAGTTCTTTCAGTTTTTATTCACTGCATTGAAGATTGCCCACATAAGCAAGGAATAAGAAACTGCTGGTGCCTGTAGGTGCCATGTTCACATTCTGTTAACTATTTGGTGGAGAGGGAAATGAAAACAACAATATTGTTCTTTGTGCCTTACAATTTTGAATAGTAGCATGGGATTTCTCTTCAAATGTTAGGGACATCTTTATTTCCTGTTGCTCATTGTTAAATCTGCTTCCAAGAATTATCCGACATTTTTTAAAGTGTCAGATTACTTATTAATGATTTGGCTTCGGCAAGAATAAATAATTAGTATGTTTATGTTTATGCAATCACAGATTTAAGGGAAGTTTATTCAAACATTCAAATCTCTCTCTCTTTCACCGCCCCCCCGCACACACACGCGCACACACCATATCTATGTTGAGATAGGAAGAAACCTATTTCCCTCTGGGAAGATTAGACTAAATACTAATTGGGCAAATAATTATTTCTCATCATTTTTTGAATGAAAGGGAAAAACTGTGATAAAAGGTCAGATTTTAAATGTTTATGTTTTTGAAGCATCATTTACTACCCATTTTCTTTATTGAGTAAGTATAGCCATGAAATGATAAACTAGAGCTAAATTTGTCTACTCTGACACATGGCTGAGTACCAGTTTCCCAATCTTGTGGTTAAATCAATACAGTGTTTGAGTAAACACAGTTAAAGCTTTATTAGAATGGTGCTTATTCTGAATTGGCAACATGTTGCTTTGGTGACAAACAAGCCCAACATACACCATTGACATGAGTAAAAGGGCAAATAGTCAGCTAATAATCCTACAGAATTCTGTGACACTTAGGCCCACATACTCCAATGGAGCAGTATTTGAGATGCACGTTGGGACCACGTGAAATCGCCGACGCAGGAGACTGTGAGAACTGCCTGGGAAATTGAACTACACTAAACTAGCACAACATTTTTTTTCTGCGTTATTATCCTCAAGTTACACGTCTTCCATGCAGGTATTTCACGTCTTAATTGCAGTTTAATGACAAATTCAGAATGCCTTTCTAATGGGTAAGGCAAAAGGAAAACAAATAAAAGAAAAGCCAGTAATTTGTATAATTCCACTCTGATTTCAAATGGGCATGGGCTTAGAAAAACCAAAGCTCCTAAGAACATTTTAATTTTCCAAAATATTAGAACTAGTACTTTGGAAAAAAGGTAACATCAAAGCTGTGAAAAGGAGAAACAGGATAAAGTTGAAGAATGGAGGGAAAAGGAGATGGCAGGGTGCAAAGTAACGTTTACATTTTTATTTACATTGTGATTTACATGCTTATTTTAATATAAATTATCTCACTGCACCACCTGAAGAGATGAGAGTTCTGACTAACGTTTATCCATTAATCAAAGCACCTAAATATTATCATTTATCTTATTTCTGCTGTTGGGATCTTTATATATGCAAATTGTCTGCAATGTTTTGCTGCTTAAAAACATAACAACACACTTTACAGCCAATGAATATAGTTGGAATGTTTTTAATCAATCTGAAGACAAAAAAGGTTCTATTATTCGTTGAAGTTATTTTGTTTAGTAAATTGGTTTAATATACCTTTTTCAAAATTATATTAAACTAAATAAAATTATAGAACTGCTTGATCCACAAGCTGACCTGAACAGCTTGCAATTTAAGAATTAATAGATTTCCTATCTTATTGTAATGAATTCAATAATTTTGCATCCTTTGACATAAATATAGCAACCACTTACAAAGAAGCTTTATTTTCTAGTGATCTATTGTAATCCTCCAGGGAAATTAGTTCTGAATTACAAGTATAAATCTTTTCCTTGTGTTGACTTCACATGGAAGAAAAGTAACATGTAAACTAGCGAGTTTTTTGTAATTTTTCCTGATAGTCTTCAGCTAGTTCTCTCACTTCAAGTGTCTTCAATCCCATCGAGTTTGTGCTTAGAAGTGGTCTGAAATTCTGATGGACGCCCGACATTTATGCAAACTCACAATACCATGCTTATGGTATATTTTGCATTTGATAAATAATATTGCATTAAGGCAGCTCATAAATTTCATTTCAATCAAATCTCAACGAAAATATACATCCCCTTAAGGGATAAAAACAGCAAAAGAAAACTGGCCCAACTGTGGCTAATAAGAAAAAGTTAAAGATAATTTCAGAATAAAGGAGAAAGCTTAGAATGTAACCAAGAGTTGTAAATCTAAGGATTTGAAGGAAGAGCATGAAATTGAGAAAGAAAGTAGAAAACTGTAAAAACTTCGATTCATATGTAAAATGGAAGAGTTTGGCGAAAGTAAATATTGCTTCCTTCAAGGCAGAGACTGAAGAACATCCAAATTAGGTATGAAGAAACAAATATTTTGCACCTGTCTTCACAAGAGGAGAAAACAAAATAATATCCCAGAAATTGTTGGGAAACATAGGTTCAGCAAGAACGAGTGTTATGACTTCAACTAAATATCCAAGGTTACATGTCCTGACGAGAGGACAGATGATCAGAGGCGGCAAGGTTGCCTTGTTAGTAAGAAAGGAAAGGAAATTCATAACAAGAAGCGATATAGGGTCAGGAGCTGCAGATTCTGTGGGGGTAGAGTTGAGGAATCACAAAGGAGGCAAGACCCTGATTGGAGGCGTGTAAGCCATCTAGCAGTAATCAGGATGTGGAGCAGAAAATAAATCAGGAGATCTAAATGACATAAGAAAGGGACTATAACAATAATCATGGGGGTCTTCCGGTTGGTAGTAGATGCCAAGAAAAGGAATTCATGGAAGGTCGACGAGATTTTCTTTTGGACCAACTTGTGATAGAGCCCACTAGAGAACAGAAAATACTGGACTTGGTGATATACAATGAAGCAGACTTGATTAGGGAGCTTAAGGTAAAAGAAACCCAGAAGTCAGCGACCATGATAAAAATTCACCCTACTATTTGAGGGAGAAGTTTGAATCAGATGTAAGAATATTATAAATGAGTAAAGGTAACTACGAAGATAGGAGGGAGGAGCTGGCCAGAGTTAATTGGAAGTGGAACCTAGCAAGGAGACAGTGGAGCAGCAATGGCTGGAGTTTTTTGGGGGCAATTTGGGAGGCTCAGCAGAAATTATCCTAAGGAAGAAGAAACGTACTAAGGGGAGGACGAGGCAACCATGACTGACAAAGGAAGTCAGGGACAGCATAAAAGAAAAAGAAAAAGCATTCTATGTGGTGAAGATTAGCAGGAAGTCAAAGGATTGGAAAGCCTTTAAAAACCCGCAGAGGGCAACTAAAAAGGCAATAAGGGAGAAGATGAAATATGACAATAAGCTAGCTAGTAATATAAGAAAATATAGAAGTTTTTTTTTTAAGATATCTAAAATGTAGCGTAGAGGCAAGAGTACAACATTGGACTGTTGGAAATGAGACTAGAGAAGTTCGGAATGACGAGTATTATCCTTATAATGTGTATTATTTCAAAATTTTAACAGCACTCTCCATTTCCGGATGTCAGATAATTTCAAAAAGGGGATGAAAGTGATTTTTTTAAAAATTGCTCCAATTCTAACAACACAAATGTACACCAGCATAGAAATCCTTTATATTTCTATAAGGTTAAATATTTCCAGTTTTGGCACAAATCAGATTTATACAGCTCATTGGAGCAATGAGAATAGGAACATAATAAATATGCAGCGCTCATGTTAAAACTGCATTTTTCACAAAATGACAATTTGACATACAACTTATGTAGCAGCAATATTTACCTCCCACAAAGGCATCACCAGCTCCATTAGTATCAACAATCTCATCTTGTTTAATATCTAGGACAGGGAAGGCTGTTACATTATCAGCTGTGAGAAAGAAGGAAAATAATGTAAATGGATTATGTATTATAGTGGAAAATAGAGATTAAGTCATATTGATTTGTTATTTTAAAATATTAGTTTTGCTAATTCAAAGGCAATAATAAAAGATGTTTTAAAACATTCTTCAGCGATTCAACAGCAAAATCACCCTGTGGAGTCTGCTTATATAATGATACAGGACAAAGATAATAAAACTTGGAAAATTGAGTTAACTAGTGGCCAGTTTCATTATATAATTCCAGAAGACAAACTAGACCAGGAATGCAGAGGAGATTCAACTGCACATCTCTGAAACAGAAAACATGATCATCAAATATCCAGCCAGCTATCTTGGTTTGCAAACAACACTATCTCAACCCAACTGCAGACATAACACAGATGTTGTGATATCTTATAAAATGTTGATAATAAGAATGTTGACGTCTTAATAATAGTAAGATCTACAAACAAAACTTACAAATTGAATATAGGGCAATGATACACTAAATCACAAAATGTAAATAACAGATTCTTTTACACACATTATTTGACTAACGTCTACTTTAACTGATGCTCTGACACACGTATTAAATGCCCCTACTTGATGATAATAAAGGATAAAACATGCACAGTCAAGCTCTAACTGACTTTAACATGTTTTCACACCTGGCTGATTATATTTAATGTGCCTGTAATCACAGTCAACAAACATTTGTTTTCAGTTTTCTGGCAGCAATTTGTCAAAATTCAAAAATGGCCCCCCATCCTTCACATCCACCAAAGAAAGGTGAGCAGTAACTTGGCTGTTCTCAAGTTCTCTCCAATGCTGCTTTTCAATCAATTTTAAAGAAATACCGGGTAATGTCAAAGCATTATTTTATACTTACTGCAACTTTACACATGGGAGCAAAATAAAAGATTTTGCTATTAATCAGTTCTCTGCTATAAACTCACTCGAGCCCAGAGTTCCCTTGATTACACTAATTTGGAAACAGCTTCCCGAAATATCTCTCTTCTACTCTTGAACTTCATCTGTTCTGATGTTAGAATTTTCCAAACTAATCCTTGAAAAATATTTTTGACTTAACGGAGGTTTACCACCACATAATCTGTTCCATTTTACACATTTCTGTTCTCATCTCTTTGGCTCCCTCCCAAAAATATACAAGGTCTTTGGATCGTCCTTCTTCATTTTTGCCATCAGCAGTGTGATATCAGCAGGAAAAATGAAATGCTTTTGATGCGTGGCATGTGTTACACCAGAGGGAAACACAGGAACCAATTTTATCTACAGCAATGTATCATGACTAAATGAGACAAATGACAATGTCATTCTGGAGATGTTGGCTGAGAGATAGCTATTGACTAAGAAATTAGTAGATTTGTGCCTTTTCTCTTTAAATTATGCCGTGTTATTTTTATCATCCACCAAAGAATAGACACGTTCTCCATTTCGTGTTTCACCTGAAATTTAGCACCTCCGTAGAACTGTACTGAAGAAAACAAAACTTAAGCTGATAGAAGGACCTATCTGAATCAGAATATAGGAAATCTATGATTAAACAAAAGACGACACACCACTAGTCAAAAACCAGTCAGCATGGTTTTATAAGTGAGTTTCCCCCATGTCAATGAACTTTTTTTGAGGGTGCAGATCAGTGTAAGATTTAAAGATAACATTGATCCATTGACTTTGAAAGACATTTCACAAATCACCATATGAAAGGTTTCAGCATTGGGACTACTACATTTCCTATTTGGACTCCATGGTCTGCAGCAGTTCAAGGTGGCAGCTTGTCACCACCTTCTCAAGTGCAAGTAGGGACAGTCAGCAACATCCATATCTCATGAGAATTCAAAAGAAAACAGTAATGGCCCAAATTTAGAAACGCAATGATAAGTGGTTATGTTTTTTGATGATACTAAACAAGTCACAGAGTGTTGGGAGGAGGCTGCAAGAATAGGAGCGAGAGAGACTGCGAAGAGAGAACAGTTTTTAAACCAGTCAACAAATAATTGTGCATCTAATTAGGAGCCAGGAAAACTTGAAATCCATTTGGTAATGAAGTTCCTTGCAAATGAATATAGAATCTCTAAGATTGTGGAAATTCACGAGTCTCAATATTTGAAAAGACGTGATTGATTTGACTGTACATTGGATCAATTGTTGAGTTTAAATTTGAGCTTGTGATCTAGGATACAGTTAAAAAGTGCAGTAACTGCCTGCTTAAAACATTCCAGCTTTACGAGCATGTGAAGAAGATGCACAGTTGGAAGGTGTGTTTAAGCTGATGATCTTTTTGTGTAAAAGTGTCTTTTTTTGATAAAAATTGTTGTCCTATGTTAAAAACTATGGTCTCCAGGAAATTACTACATTGCTTGTGCATTGTGGCTTTAATTTAATGGACAGTTCTGGATTTAGGATTTTCTTGAAACCTGTCTACTTTGCCTTGTCCTTCTAGTTCAGCAAGAAAATGCTAACACTGACAATGTTTGAGGATTGTAAGCCTTTGCAAACAATAAACATAAATAGTGCACAATTGTTGCTTGCTTGAAATGCACATAAATCAATTACATCTTTTCTAAGGGGAGCAAACAGGTTCATTAATAGGAATGATACTGAACAGGAAAGTTATCAGGTTTGGAAGGGCCGAAAATTAATGAACTGACACAATGCTCCCCAATAACCCGCTTTTTAATCTGAATCCCAATAGGTTACCACAATGGTGTAACTTGCATGAAAATTAAAATGTGATTCTGAAACTACATAACTTACTATATGTACACTTCACGAGCAAGAGAATCAACTAAATAACTGTCTCTCTAGATTAAATTCCCCGCTGCAAAACTGAAAATTTTAATTATAATGTCCCCTGGCTTTGAAATTTGCAAATATTTAGAATAACTGTTTTGCAAAGAATGATCATCTTAAGCATTAATGATTCACTTTCCCTTCCCAATATTAGCCAGTGTTTAAAATTCATCTATTCAAGATGGTAACTATTCATGTTAACCTGCTCTTGACAATGAGGAATACGTATCGTAAGTTTATGAACAATTTTTAAACTCCAAGGATGAGCAGGAAACTGTGGTTAAACTGCTCCTCTCTGGAAATCTGTTGTTTGTGCCTGCACATTTCTGCAGTGAGATTTTTAATCATAGGAAAATGTTAACATGTAGTCAGCTCATTTCTGTAATACAGAATTTTAAAATAACACTGCAGGTTACCGGAGTTCTAAAACTTAAAACTATAGATGACAACAGCATGAAGTCTGCAAGAAAAGTGATTTCACGTGGCACCAAATTAGAAGTGGGCAGCTGTTCTGAAGTTGATGTGATGAGAAAAAAAACTATAAAATAACTATTATATACGACAAATATACTATGCTAAAATACTATATTGGTGTCAAATATGCAAGATATCGGGGCAAATATTTTCTAATATTTCATTTAGGTTATGAAGATGCAAATATAGTAACAACATAAGTGAATTATACCATTCCCCTGGTCACACAAAGGAGACTGGATCATCATGCAGGACAGCACAGCGGTGAGTACAGCACCAGAAACCCAGGTTTGATTCCACCCTTGGGCGACTGTCTGTGGAGTTTACATGTTTTCCCCATGTCTGCATGGGTTTCTGCCAGGTGTTCCGGTTTCCTTCCACAGTGCAGGTTAGATAAATAGGCATGGTAAATGTGAGATTATTGGGATAAGGTGGGGGGTGAGTTTGGGTGGCATGCTCTTCGGTGGGTTGGCGTGGACTCAATGGGATGAATGGCCTCTTTCTGCATTGAAAGGGTTCTATGATTCTACATGTAAATTTGAGGTTCATTAGCAACACTCACTGTCAAAATATCTGGCATGTTTCAATTTTGGATTTTTAAAGTAACTTCTCCCACAAAATTATTCAACAATAGTTTCTGAAGATGTACCTTCTTATTGTGGTCCAGAAATTTTCTGCTTTCTATAATGGAAAAATTCTACATGATTAGAGGGAAAAAGGCAGGACAGGTACAATGAGCAAAATGGCTTCCTTCTCTGTTCACTCAATGTATGATTCCAACTTGTCCTCAATAAATGTGAGGAATGACTGACTACACTACTTGCAATATTTGTTTAAGATAGTTTTGTTACGTTCATTAAGCTTTTTGAAAAATCAGATCGGCAAACTAGATTAGGGGCGGCATGGTGGCACAGTGGTTAGCACTGCTGCCTCACAGTGCCAGAAACCTGGGTTCGATTCCACCCTCGGGCGACTGTCTGTGTCGAGTTTGCACATTCTCCCAGTGTCTGCGTGGGTTTCCTCCGGCTGCTTCAGTTACCTCCCACAGTCCAAAGATGTGCAGGCTAGGTGGATTGTCCATGCTAAATCGCCCGTAATGTTCAGGCATATGTAGATTAGGTGGGTTTATAGGGGAATGGGTCTGGGTGGGATGCGCAGGGTTGCTGTGGACTTGTTGGACTGAAGGGCCTGTTTCCACACTGTAGGCATTCTATAATAATAATTCACAGAACAGCCCTCCTCTTCCGTCCAACTCCATCCCCTCATCTGATGTCACCTCTTGCTGCATATTCACCGTACAGTTTGACCTTCTGCTCTCTGATGCTGAATGATCTGCACTCAGTAAGGGACATGGTTTATCACTTTAAGCCTCCAATCAATGAATTTCAGGCGTGACATGACACTGAATTTTTCTTCTGTCATCTTCACTTCCACGACTACTTCTTTGGACAGGAATCCTCTCCCTGCTACAGACCCTTTCATCCGTCTCCAATACTCCCCACCACCTAGACCTCTTCTTCTCATCTTTTATCTATACTTGATCTCTTCATTGAGAACTGCCATCATGAAATTAGCTGCCTTCATTTCTCTGCGCCCCCACTTGCCCACTCTAACCAGTGTCCCTCTGACCTTGCTACACTCTGTTCCCTCAGGTCTAACCCTGACTTTGTTATCAAACCTGCCAACAAGGAGGGTGGTGTGGATGTTGTCTGGCATATTG